GATATGTGGGTGTCACTGATTTCAAGAAAATATCACCCTATCAGGTGAATCAAGCAGATTTAATTAGTAAAAATACATATTGTCCCATAACATTCCCTACTTGGATAGGAAACTGGTTCTGATTAAAAAACAGACACTGATTAGATAGCCCAACCATTGTGTAGAAGCTTTATTCTGAGGGAGGAGGCAACTTAGTTAGGTGTGGTTTAGAACAGATAAGTACCCCCATTATCTATGAGGGTCTTAGTGGCTTCCCTTTTAAAGATAATTCCAAACTATCAGTGAAGAGAAGGGGAAATGCCCTCAGATCAACTCTATGCTAACTTTTGTTTCTTTTCTCTTTCTAAATTCTATTTCCATTTCCCATAATCTTTCTTACAGTGACCTGGCTTTCTTTAATAAAGACAGACTTCTCTATAGTAGTTTTTCAGCAGACTCTATTTGGTAATTCTATTGCTTTGCTCCCAGAAACCAGTAGGTATATTAATTGGAATAGATCAGAATAGCCAGAACCATATTCTCTAACAGTTAAATTCCTTTGCAAAACCCATCAAGGTCCCAGAGAAAGTCAGGGAAGTCTTTATGAGGGCAGATTCTTTAATTGTGTTCTACTCCAAGTGTGGCAGGATAGTAAGAGGCTAGGGAAATTCCTCCACAAGTGGAATAAGAGAAAATAGGACAAAACAATTAAACGAGGCCAAACGATTTGAGCTTCACATCCAGCTAACGAATCATAAGATTTTATCTTCTCTAACCAAGTATCTTCTCTAACTCAGGAAGAAATGGTTTACACACTCCCGACCTTCTCAGGATAGAACAGACTTAGTCCTGGTCCCTCTTCAATGATGTTCTTGATAACATCCTTTAAAAATTAAACCAGAAAAAAAACTCTGACTCCTGTCTTTGGTTGCTGGCGCCATTTGGGGGCTCAGCCCATCTGGTATCCAGATGACCTAATCCTGCATAATAAAAGGCCAGGCGTCAAGACCAGAACCACCTGGCCCTGCCCCCCAGGGAGCGGTTAGGGGCGGCCCTAGGCAATGCGATAGGGTGAGAGTGTGATGGGGGAAAGTGGGAGAAATGGAGGGGAAGGTCTTAAGGGTCTGCGGGGTTGGAGTGGTCGGCCCGAGTAGGTTTGGAGTGTGCTGGGGAAGGGAGAGGAAGAGAGGAAGATTCATTTGGAAACGGCTCAGCACAGTACCTTTCTCCTTGCGAACCAGGACGGCGCCAGCTGTGGGCTGAATGGGTTGTTTCATGAGTGCGCTTGGGACCCACATGCTCATGGCAGCGGCAGTGCTCCCGAAACTTCACTGATTCCAAATAGCGAACGGCTATGAACGCCAAAACAGAAAAATCCTCTCCAACTGGAGGCCCTTGACGCCGCAAAGGAGCTGAAGGAAACGCCACTTAAGGAGGAGCTAGAGAAACAGGAAGTATGTGACCAGAGGATTGTGGGATTGCGGAGGCCGCCTGGGTGCTTGCGGCTAGAACCTGAGCCTGTTATTGCGCATGTACAGAGTCAGCCCTACAGTCCTCAGTCTCGCAGTATTTGGACGTGACTTCTGGTCAGAAATTATTTGTTTGTTACCTTGGTTTGAAGTGGGGGACAAGAGCAGGGAGTTAGACCATCTCTATGCGGAGTACACACGCACCTCCCAGGAGCTGCAGATGAAGCGCACCGCCATCGAAGCCTTCAATGAAACCATCAAGATCTTCCAAGAGCAGGGCAGACTCAAGAGAAGTGCAGCAAGGAGTATCTGAAGCGCTTCCGGCGTGAGGAGAATGAAAAAGAGATGCAGAGGACCCTGCTGAACTCAGAACAGCTCAAGTCTAGCATTGCTGAGATCCATGAGAGCCACACAAAGCTGGAACAGGAGCTGCGGACACAGGCCTGGGACAACCGGGAGATCGATAAGCGCATGAACAGCCTGAAGCCAGACCTCATGCAGCAGCGCAAGATCCGAGACCAGTACCTGGTATGGCTCACCCAGAAAGGCGCCCAACAGAAGAAAATCATGGAGTGGTTGGGAATCAAACATGAGACTGAAGACCAGTATGCACTGTTGGAGGATGAGTATGACTTCCCCACCATGAGGAACGAACCTGGTGTGTGGGCAAGATCAACCGCTCGCAGGCTGAGGAAATGCTGAACGGCAGGCGGGATGGTACCTTCCTCATCCGTGAGAGCAGCCAGCGGGGCTGCTATGCCTGGTCTGTGGTGGTGGACGGTGATACCGAGCACTGTGTCATCTACCGCAGGGCCACTGGATTGGGTTTTGCGGAGCCCTACAACCTGTATGGGTCTCTGAAGGAGCTGGTGCTGTATTACCAGCACACCTCCCTCGTGCAACACAATGATGCACTTACTGTCACACTGGCACATCCTGTGCGAGCCCCGGGCCCCGCACCCCCACTGACTCATACAGAGCAGGACTCCATCTTTCTGTCTGTCTCTCTTCTTTGTGAATCTTTCTTTCTCTGTCTCAATCTCTCTCTTGCTTTCTCTGAGTCTCTCTCTTCCTGTCACTCCATCTCTGTCCTCTCTGTCTCTCTTAGTCTCTGTACCTCTAAATCTCTGTTAGAGGAGCATACCTCCTCCAGCCCATGCCCCCTTTCCCCATGGGCACTGCCCTCCCCTGGCTCTGGCTGCCCCCACCAGTTCCTACAGTTCCCCCAAGCTCCCCCTGCCTGTATCTACCATGTTTACAAAGGCCCCTGGGGTGCTCAGCCCCAGCCTGGTGCCCTGATTTTTAAGCCATAGACCTGGGGTCCGGCAGGAAGAAGGCAGGAAGGAACTTCCAAGAACCTCAGCTGTGACATTTGGGGGCAAACAGTCCCACCCCACAGACCCAACTTCCCCTCCAAACCCTGAAGTGAAACCCGCACCGGTTACCCCCATATGGAGCTGCTGCCCAGAAGCCCTCCTTCCACAAAAGCAAAATTATTAAAAATAACCTCAAGAGCTGGGCCCTATCTGACCCCAGGCTTCCCAGGAACCAAGGCTTCTGCAGATACTGCTGGGCCAGCTGAGATGCACTGCTGCCCACAGCACCTCTATTCAATGCAGTTTCAAGGCTTCTCCTTGATAATGTTGGGTTCTGATTTTGTTTCCTTGACTGTAAACCCATTTTCTCCACTTTTGGGACAAGAACCCAGGTTTTCTATGCTGCCATGGACCCCCCTCCTTCCTGCCCAGCTAGGCTGGCAGGTGGGTTTTGTATGGTATGTAAAAAAAAAGGAAAATGGGATAATGGCGAATAAGAAACTTTGGAGACAGTGAAGGGCAGTTTGTCCAGACTGTTGGGAGCTAAGAATTAGAGTTTAATTGGGATAGAAATCCAGCTAATAGCACCTGATCCCGGAAATCTGAGCACTCTACTTTTAGGTTTTCCAGTTCAAGTTTTTGCAGACTGCCAATTAAAACATTCCTGGTTGGAAAGTGTTTATATAGAAGCCCATAAGTATTAAGTATTTGCTGTGTTTACCATTCTTAGCTCTCTGTAAGGAATATGGAATAATGTTAAACGCCTCATGTTCTCAAGAAGCTTGACTTTTAAAATAAAAAATACAGAAGAAATATAAATATTAAAAATTTTAAAAAAAGAAGCTTGAGTTTTAGGGGTGATCAGTCAGGCAGGCAGAGCAATTAGGAGCCAGCGGTCCCGGATTGCGAGAGGGATATCCTGATCTGCGGGATCAGGCCTAATCTGGCAGTCCAAGATCCCCCAAAAGGTCCCCGATTGCAAGAGGGTACAAGCTGGACTGAGGGACACACACTCCCGTGCACAAATTTCGTGCACCAGGCCTCTAGTAAATTTATAATCCCTTACCACTTTGGCCTCATGCGTCTCTCCTTTAGTGACCCTAACAATTAGTGCTGAAACCCGAGGGAGTTCCCCAGGAATGGGGAGCCATCGCCCCAACTTTGATCACCCTGAGTTTGCTACTCGGAGAGCAGTGGGCAGTGGCAGCTCAACCTGGGCTTACCTCTGAATCCTACTCAGGTGACTCGATTGCAGCCTCGATTAGGCCTCCCTTTCTTATGAACCCTCCTGAACCAGGCAAGAAGGACGCACGATTAGGAATCTCTCCTCCATTGATGACCCTTCATCCCACACCAGCCAATCTTCTCTAGGTCAGACCTCAGCCAGTCCAGCAAGGCTGCTGCCATCTGGATCCAGTTTGGAGCTCCCAGACCTCCTGGGACTGGCCACGGAAGACTGAAGATGCCCAGGCTCTAACAAGGCCCCACAGACTTACATCACCAGGACAAAGCCTTGGTTAATGATTGGGGTGGCAGATAACATCTAGGCCTCAATTGTATTTCAGCTCCAGGCCCAGAAAAGCAGCAAAACCAAACAAGTGACACTGTGGCAGCCTCAGAACCAGCTTTTACCAAGTCACTCAAGAGGACCGCTTTTGAGCCTTCACCAACCAGTCTCCCAGGGAAATCATACTGCCACAACTCCTCGCTCCAACCAGGAGGTAGCTATACAATGTTCCAGCTGACTACAATCAAAGTCCAACCCCTGTGATCTCGACGCCCCCTCTCAGCAGGAATTAACTATGGAGATATGACCTTCGTCCCTGTTCCATAAAACAAAAAGGCTGGAATGTTAAATCTGATCAAATATATTAATCAATTCCCCCTCCCCTGGGAACTGGCCTTCAGGCCACTTCACAATGGACATTCCACTTGCTTAAGCCACATTTCACTTGCTAAAACCATTATCTCTGCCCTCCAGTGTTTCCCAGAATCCCAACATGCCCAGAGAATTCTTCACCCAGAAACAGCCTTCCATTGTCCTTTAAAAACCTCTGACTCCCATCTTTGGGTGCTGGCACCATTTTGGGGCTCAGCCCATCTGGTATTCAGGTGACCTAATACATTTATAATTTTAATGAATCAACACATTGAAGGACACACCTGAAAAGTTAATGAATATTCTGTTAAAACCCTCCCCTTTGACCTCCCCTAGGATTCTGTCCCACCAAAGTAACATAAAAAGCCTCAAGACAAAGAACCCATGGTGCGCTCTTGCTAGAACATGGCTGCACCTTCTATCTCTGCTCTTTTTCTCTAAGGGTCCTCATGACACTTGCAATCAGGAGAGCAATGGGCAGTGGCAGCTCGTCCCAGTCTTATCCCTTGAACTTGTCTCCAGATCCCATTTCTCTGACTTTCTTCGGTTGCTTCTTCTATCCTAAGCACTTTCTTCATTTCACTGTCCCCAGCTTTAATAAACATATTCTACCTAGGGCATGCTGTTGCTGGAGCATGCCCACAGCTCATATCTCTGTTCTCTGTCCCCTAAATACTAAAGCACCCCACAAGACTTGCAACCAGGAAAGCAGTGGGCAGCAGCAGTTCATCTCGGGCTAACTTCCTGAACCTGTCTCCAAGGCCCCCCTTTTCTCTGACTTTCCAGTGAGCTCACTTCTGTCACTGTGACTTCTATTTCTCAGTGAGCCAAAGCGGCCTCACCTAGACTCTCTTTGGTTTCTTCTTCTGATAGGGGCAGAAATAGAATATTGGGGACCAACTATAATTGTAAGAAATATTAATCATGTTCTGTTAACCCTGATTGTTTTATTCTGATTAACGAAGGCACATTCTAACCTGGCTGGCAGTTGCCTGTGGGACCTGGGAATTCACCTGGAAATGCAGCCCATTCTCCCCATCAGGGAGCTGCCTGTTCTCATGGAAAGCAGAAACCAAAGCCAGAAACCAGAGCTGCCAGCCCTTTGAGGACCCCTAGCCTTTGCATATCACTAGCCCTTTGAAGGCCCCAGCCCTTTTGCATATCTGTAAACTGCCCACTTGCCCTTTTTGTCTACTTCCCAATGTAATGTTTGTCCTTCTACCTAATATAAGCAGCTGGCTTATGGTGGGTGGGGTGGAGGACAGATTTTTGTGGATGACCTGCTACTCTCCCATGCTGCTGGCAGTATTGGAATAAAATCACATATGATTCAACCTGGTCTCGCTCAAGTAGTGAAGGGCAGCATGGACCCATTGATTGTCCGGTTACACTTCTACATTCAGCCCTTCCTTTGTTTCACTGTTCCCACTTTTAGTAAATATAGTCTCAAAATCATCTGGACTCATATTGTGAAATCTTTCCTACGTGAAATCAAGAACCCACACACTACCTGCAGGCACCAATAACACAATGAATGTATGCAATTGTTTTCCCTCTACTTCAGACTGGTTTTTCTGCTTTTCTACTGTGAGTGTGATTTACCTATGCTTTTTCTAGGAGCTTCTAGATTGGAATTAAAATAAGCTTTCCATTCATTCTGTTTAACTTTAGAGCCAGCTTTTCCTAATTTTGCATGCAAAATTTGACTTAGGCATCAAAAGAGGTACATTTTAGTGTTGTAAAGCTGATCACTTCTAATTACATTTTTCCCATTTCTATAAATACTTGCAAATAAAGGCTTCCTGTTTATTGTATATCTGCAGAAGTATTAAGGAGGGCTGAGGGTGGGAGTTAAAAAACAGCCATTCACTTTTCTCCGTGTGTCCTGCCTTAGCCTGGGTTCTCTCAACCCTTAACCTTTAGCTCTACCACAAGGATTTTTTAAAAACAGATCAAAGAAAGTGAGCCTCTTACCTTAAAATAGGGGTCGGGGGTGGGGGGTGGATAGGTCCAGAATTCCAAAGGAACTCATCCAATGCAAAATGAGGAGCATGTAACACCCAGAGGGCCCCAGCTAATACCTAGCATGGGTCTGAGTCTGCGAGGTGGCTGTGGGTGGGCTCCTCTGGAATCCTGCCACTCTATACCATGATGAGACAATCCTAGTCATAGCAAGTGAGCCAGCTGGGCTCCGTAACCTCAGGAAACAAGGTCCCCTCTGGGGCACTAGATGTTATTGGACAGGGGACCTGTCCCTGAGCAGGCTGGCATAAGGACGGCCAGTATGTGTGTTCTTGACAACACAAGACCAAGTGACTATGCGGGTGTGTTTATTATAGCTGGGGACAGTAAAACAAGGAAGGGCTTAGCATAGAAGAGGCAACAGGGAGACCTAGGCTGGGCTGCTTTGGTTCTCTAAAAATGTTATTGGAAATAAATGAGCTAAGGCAGGGCTGCTTTAGCTCACTGGGAAGTCTGACAAAAGGAGACAGGTTCAGGGGGTTAGCCTGGGATGAGCTGCTGCTGCCCATGGCTCCCCTGCTTACAAGTCTTGTGGGGTCCCTTAGACTTTAGGAGGTGTGTGCCTGTGGGGGAAGAAGAGAGAGAAGGGAAAGACCTGGGTGTGTTCCCCAGAGGGAGAGCACATGCTGGGTCCTTTGTCTTGAGAGTGTTTTTCTCTCTTGCAGGTGGGACTCCTCGAGGAGGGTTTTAGCAGAGTATTCATCAGTTTTCTAGGTGGGCTCTTTCAGGGTCCTGGTCTCTACTGATTGGTCAGTGCCAGGGCAGGGGGTCATTGCAACTGGTCCTGGTGTCACCCACCTAGTTTGCTATTTTTCTGGGTCTGGAGCTGAAATACAACTGAGAACTAGATGTTATCTCTAGGGAGGTGACCTTCTGTGTCTGCTGTAAGTTGCTCTGCCAGTTTGTTCAGATATCTGTCTCAGTTTCCCTGTTCCACTTGTCCTGGCTTACTGACCTGTCTCATGCACTAGCACATGCCCTACCAGAACTCATGTCCATGGCCTCCTGTAGATGTGACCTGTGGATGTCTGGCTCTAAGTAGTACAAGCTCTGCAGGCCTGTCCTGGCCCCACCCCTCCCCTGGCTACACCCTCTGTTCAGGTTCTGGCTGGGTGTGGCCATACTTGCCCTTTGCTTGCCTAGGGCCAGGAGCATTCTGAAGAGACCTGGGTGGAGCAGCTCTGAGCTCCACCCTGGAATCTAAAAACCCACCCTGTGCTTTGCCTCTCCCCTCATCCCATCTCCTGTCAGCATTAAAGCTCAAGGTGGCTCCAGAGCTCCGGGTCTCACAGTAGGGAAGACTGAAGAGCACAGAACGGTGAGTGTCCTGAAGATCCCATCCTCCCATCTTCACCACTTCACTCTTCTCACTGCCCCCACCCCAGCATCTCAGTAGCCTGACTTCTGCAAATGTCTCTGCCTTCTCTGGGCTCCTCCTTTTATGGCTTTTCCTGCCTCTTCCCTTAACCTCCCTTCTCCCAACATCATCTATTGGAAGAAACCAAGAGGATTACAAAAGTGGGTTCGTAGTGCTGAAGAGGAATTTGCCAGGGAAACAGTAATGACCCCAGTGGGAGTCTGGTATTGGGATATGGTAGGGGACAAGAATGACTGCTATTCTCTACCTGCCTAATGCCCTCCCCTCTCCCTCCCCAGTGAACATCCCTGAGGCCCTCGGAGCTGGGACTGAGATATCGAGTGCAGCAAATATGGCCAGTGCAACAGACACGGCCAGTGCAGCAGAGATGGCCCATGGAGTTGAGCAGCCGCTGGCCCAGGGAATGACTGCTATTCTCTACCTGCCTAATGCCCTCCCCACCCGCCTCCTCCACAGTGAACATCCCTAAGGCCCTCAGAGCTGGGACTGAGACTACGAGGGCAGCAAACATGGCCAGTGCAACAGACACGGCCAGTGCAGCAGACACGGCCAGAGCAGCAGAGATGGCCCATGGAGTCGAGCAGCGGCTGGCCCAGATGTTAGAGGGTATGAGCAAGGAGCAGCTGAGGAAGTTCCTACTGCGGCTGCCTGATAAGGATCTCTGCCAGCACTCTCCTGGGGCAACCCCAGCTCAACCAGAGGAGGTGTGTGGCATGGAGGTGGCCTCATGCCTGGTGGCTCAACACGGGGAGCAGCAGGCCTGGGACCTGGCCCTGCAGACCTGGGAGCAGATGGGCCCGAGCGAGCTGTGTGCTCGAGCCCAGAAAGAGCCAGCTATGAAGTCAGGTGAGTAGACAACATACCCTCTGCCTGCTGTTCATCTTCCCACCCATGACCCACTGAACCCCATCAGACCTTCTTCTGGGGACTGCCCTGTCAATGGGGGGATCCAGGCTCAAACTAGACTTCAGCTAAGAGACTTGTGGAGAAGAATGCTTAGTGCATTCCCCAGCAACCCATGGGTCCTCACAGCACCTGGGAGGGAGCTCAGAAGGCCAGAGAAACTAGGGCACTCCAAGGCCAGATGTCCCAAATAAGTTTCTATTTTTATATATTTAAGACCCGTCACCTATGTCGGGGTGCGGGGGGTTCCCATAAAGGTGCTGCTCCTAAGCGGGACATGCACAGGTGGTCTGTACCATCTGCTTGAGGCTTGCGCCAATACCTTCTGGTCAGACACTTTCACAGAGACAGCACCGAGATCTGAGCTGAGCCGGAGAAATTACACACAGACAAACAGGTTAGATGCAAGCACACAGGGGGTTTATTTACCAGTTCCTGATGGGTCTCAGGTGCTGGGAAGGATCCATCGGTCGATGCTCGCTGATACACACACAGGGGTAGATGGCGCCGTTGCTGCTGGCTCCTTCGTCGATCAGCAGTTAATTGGGCAGAGTTTTGTGCTGGGAACCAAGACGTGAGCACACACAGGTCCTCACGCTCTGGCGACAGGAGAGCTATGAGCTGCTGGGTCCATCAAACTGTCTGATCTTATACCCCTCTGTAGACGTGGTCTTTGTTGGTGTGTGTGTTATCAAGGGCTGCCATATGTGGATCCACCCGGGGTCTGTTAATCTATGCGTGTGTACTGACTATGAATATTCCCATCAGATAGGTTGTTTATCAGTACTAAGCAGAGTTATGAGGATGCGTTCCTGGGTCCCACACAGCATTCCTATATCTACCATTACTATAACAGTACACACAGGGTTACATGCTATAAGTCTTACATTATAAGGTCCTAACATTAATTACCATAATGATTACTATAACACCAGAGAAACTCTCAGAAAGCACTAGCAGAAAGAGTGTAGGTTTCACACCCATCTCCCAAGAGGCCACTTGCCTGGTCTTGTGCTATAAGCACAGAAGGGAGTTGGCAAGAAGCAGGTTCTAGTCCTGGCACCACCACATTGGGCAAGTCGCTTCACTGCTCTCTGCATCTTCTCTCCATCTGTAAAATGAGAGGCTGGGAGCCTGCCTCCTGGACTGTAGGAGGGTAAAGAGGTAATCCATGTTAGACACCTACCAGAGTCCGCTTCCTAGTAAGTGCTCAATGAACTGTTCTATTGCTACTGTTGCTGCCCCTGTGGATGTTGTTACTACTGACAGCTGTTGTGGCAGAGGCTCTCAGCCTCATGTGAGGGGACTTGAGGCACAGAGAGGAGTCATGACATATATGGGAAGGGAGAGGCAGAACCAAACCAGGGCAGAGATACAGAGCTCCTAGAGCCAGATCAGGACAGTTGCCCAGCAGTGTCAGGGCACCATTCTCCAATGAGAGGGTGGGGCAGGCTGCAGTGGGCTCACTGGTTCCTCCTGACCTCTCCTAGTTAAGACTCAGTCTCTTGTTTTCTGGTGCTGTTGACGATGATGGCGAGAACAGCATCAGGTGTTAGACCAGTGAAGTCAGACCAGACCTCATTTCAGAAACCTTGGTACTTGAGTTCTGACTAGGGAAGAATTCAGAGCCAAGACTCAAACTATAAGAGAATTTTTACTTAGAAAATCGCAGAGGTATCAGAAATGGATGGTAGAAGAAAAGGGTTCAGTAGCAAAGGAAGGGCCCTTGGAGGTTGGGAGTGAGGAAGGTAAAGGTAATGGTAATGGGGGGATAGGAGGGAAGGGGTGCGGAAAGGCATGGGCATGCTCCCAGGAGGGAGAGCGCACTGGGTCCTCCATCCTAAAAGCTTTTAAGAGTGGCGATCTTAGGGGAGATCCCAGGGAGGATCTCAATAGAATATTTATCAGCTTTCCAAGTGGGTCCTTTGTAGTCTCCGCTGATTGGTTGGTGTCAGGGCAAAGGGTCGTTAGTCAATGCAGATGGTTTTGCTGCTTTTCTGGGCCTGGAGCTGAAATACAATTGACGCCCAGATGTTATTTCTTGCAAGGAAAGATCAGGGGGTCTGAACAGCATGGCCAGAGATATGAAAGGTCAGGGCAAGGCAGAAAGTGAATTCCCAGCCAGGTGAGCTCAGAGCTGCATGAGGACCTGGGCCAATAAAACACCATAAGAAGGATGGAAAAACCAGGGTGGTGGGGTCAGTAGGCCTAGAAATGATCTTTCAGGAACATTCCAGTGTTGAGGTTACACCCCCGCTGATTTGACAGATGAGTAAACTGAGACCCATGCAGGCCAGGCAGTGAATCTTACCCAACCAGGTGCCATGATAACATGGTCCTTGGTCAGGCACAGCTTGGGTCATAATAACTCTGAAGTTCCCTGGGGTCTGGGTGGTCCAGAAAGTTCCAAAGAGGACTCTGTTCTCCAGGTGAACCCCAAGAGGAGGATAGGTCTATTACTCAGCTCAAGCCAGTCCCCTCTCCTGACTTCTCTGATTTTACCCTCCACATATGGAGTCACCTGGGCTGGAAATCTCAGCTATACCTTTGCCTCTTTCTCTTCTTTTTTTTAAAAATATATTTTATTGATTTTTTACAGAAAGGAAGGGAGAGGGATAGAGAGTTAGAAACATTGATGAGAGAGAAACATCAATCAGCTGCCTCCTGCACATCTCCCACTGGGGATGTGCCCGCAACCCAGGTACATGCCCTTGACCGGAATTGAACCTGGGACCTTTCAGTCCGCAGGCCGACGCTCTATCCACTGAGCCAAACCAGTTTCGGCGCCTCTTTCTCTTTTCATCCCAACATCCAAATCCACGCTCACACAGCACTTGGAAACACCCAGGGCTGGAACCTAGACCCAGTGATCTCTCCCTCCACCCTGCTGCTGCTTTGTGAGGACCCCACCCCCAGTTTCCATGTCCCCTTTTCTCTTCCCTTCCTTCTGTGCCACTCTCCCTCCTCCTGCCCCCAAACCCTGGCAGTGATGGTTACAAGCTCAAGCTTCATTGTCTGACATAATAATAGCTAATCCTGCTCTCTTTGGTTTCCATTTGCATTGAATATTTTTCCATCCTTTTCCCTTAGTCTAAGTGTGTTTTTAAAGCCAAAGAGAGTCTCTTGAAGGCAGCATATAGTCAGATCTTGGGTTTTATTGTGCTTTGTTTTTATTTTTTATCCATTCAGCCACTCTATCTTGTGATTAGAGAAGGTAATGCTTTTTATTCAAAGTAATTATTGATAGGGAAGGAATTATCCATTGTTTTTGTAGCTGTTATATACTTCTTTTATTCTTTCTTCCTCTCTTGCTGTGTGTGATTTGATGAGTTTCTATAGGGGTATGCTATGATTCCTTTCTCTCTTGTTTGTGTATCTGCTAGAGGTTTGTCTTTGTGTGTGCCACGAGATGTACATTAACTATCTTATAATTATTACAGTCTATTTCAAACTCATAACAACTTAATTTCAATCACATGTAAAAATTCTACCCTTTTACTCTCCCATTGTTGTCATAATTTACATCTTTTATATTGTGTATCCATTACCAAATTATTTTATTCTACATGAGTTATTTGTGTGTGTGTGTGTGTGTGTGTGTGTGTGTGTGTTTGCATGAGTTATTTTTAATACTTTTGCTCTTGTTTCCTCTTGGAGTTTCATTCAATAAATTTATTATTTCAATACAATAAAAATGTTGTGACATAAAATAACACAAATAACTAATAATTTTGTTAAACTCCTCCATTTAGGCACACAGTATTCAGTAATGGCTCAGTCATTGCTGTCACATCATTGAGTCAGAGTTTACCAAAGATAATCACACAGTCTTGTCATAATATTTTTTATTACAATAGCCAGAGACTGAGCATGAAGGTTTAGGAGGTGTCAATACCCCTTCTTCAACTATAGGAATGTGTCATCTCAAGACTGTATATTTAAATAAAGAAGTTCAAATATAAAGAGAAAGGAATACAATTTCTTCATAAATATTCTATGTCTATTACCAATCACATATTCTTTTGTAAACATTGAAGCACCTATAAAGAAAATTTACACATACATCTATACTAATAATAAGGGAATATGCAAACTGTCCAGGACGCCCTCACGCATAACAACCAGACCGAACAGCAGGCTGTGTGAGGCAACCAGGCTGGCAGGGGGGTTAGTGAGGAACGACCAAATGACTGAACAGCAGGCTGCGTGGGGTGATCAGGCTGGCAGGAAGCAGGCAGTGAAGGGCGACCAAAAGACCAAACAGCAGGCTGCATGCAGCGAACAGGCTGGCAGGGAGGACAGTGAGGGGTGACCAGGCAGTCAGAGTGGGGCAGTGAGGGGCAACGAGGCCAGCAGAGGGGGAAGCTGGGGACGACCAGGCCGGCAGAAGGAGGGCAATAAGGGGTGACCAGGCCAGTTGAGGGGCAGTTAGGGGAAACCAGACCAGCAGCAGAGGGGGTTAGGGGTGATCAGGCAGGTGGGGAGGCAGTTAGGGGCGTTCAGGCAGGCAGGCAGGTGAGCAGTTAGGAGCCCGTGGTCCCAGGAGAGGATACGAGGGAGAAGGGCTGGGCGGAGGGGGCCCCCCCCCCCCCATGCACAAATTTCATGTACCGGGCCTCTGTCATTGCTGTCCCATCATTGAGTCAGAGTTTACCAAAGATAATCACACATAGTCTTGTCATAATATTTTTTATTACAATAGCCAGAG